GGCTTCTGAGTCGATTGGTGGGGGCGGTGACATCCACGACGGCCTGGAGATAGAGAAACGATGGCGGCGGTGGCGGTGACTCCGACCACCACGGACAGGGGTGCTCCGGCCAGAATCGAGCTGTGAAAATGGATGGGTTTTCTTCGTCTCGCTGCACTGAGTCCATAGGGACTGAAATCATCTCAATCGGAGGTCGGATGGCGGAGATATCACGACGGGAAGAAATGGGAATTTCGGAACTTCCGCCGGTGATTGCGGCTGATTCCGGCGGAGTTGGAGGGCGTGCCGCATGTCGTTGAACTCAGCTCGTCGAGATCTTTCTATTGACACCGGTGGTGTCAAAAATGGAGGTCGGAATCTTAACTTGAGTATTTGGCCATTGATGGTTTGTGTGAGAGAGAACGTGAGAGGAGAGAGAGAATGAGCGAGAATAAGAGAAAGAAAGTGCAAAAACCCTAAAAATTTCACTATATAAAGTATCTGATTAAGGCAAGATTACGTGCCTGATCTTATCCTCAATTATTTCCTCTAAACAGATTAAATTTATACTGATTAGAGGTAATTAGTTTAGCTCACGTAAGTTAATCTACTACTTACAGTCCAATATTAATTTCTGAATAATTCAATATTGTTTTATATTCTTACTCGCGTAATATTTCAAACTGTTTCAAGTCTTAAAATTAATTTTAGACTGAACAAATTCTAAATTTTAATTTTCTGTATTCTATCCCGAGAATGACGTTTCTGACAGTGTCAACTCCCGAGCTCATATTGTACCCATCTACTATAGGTATTTATCTTGCGACTTTAACCTAACTGTCTAGCAATTAAGGATTTTTTTTCTTCTTTTAAAATGTCAGTGCGTTTTTTTTTTATACGCCGTTAACATCGTGCCGTGCTTAGAGATTCTTGAAATTAAGATTCTCAAACTATACTTGTACTGAAAATTATTCCGCCTTAAAATACGGCGAGAATTTATCGATCGAATTTACTTGATCGAAACATGAACTTAACATGAAATTTGCTATAGAATTTAGGAATACATATATTAATTCCATAAATCCTCCATTCACAATATAACATAATATTTTCTAAGAAAATCCTTGGCTTAAAAATACATGAATTGTATTATTTAAGATCTGGAATTTTCTCAGTCATTACAGCCAGAGCTGAGGGCTCAATGAACTTTCCTCCTTCTCTCCCTCTCCCACACTATTCCAAGCACACCACAAATGGCCGCACCCCAAAATATATAACAACAACATTCCTTATTTTGGGCTCACACCGAGTGTCCATCCCATTATGAACCGATATTTAACATACATGCTTAACTAAATTTACATTAACAAAATTATCCGTAAGATGCTTTAATAACAAATTAGAGTGAATTATTATGATTATGGAAGTCCACATAAAATATTCTAACAAAAGCATGATGAATTACTTTCTGGTGGTGGAACCGGAGCAGGCATTTTGAGAGAAAGGGAAGGAGAAGGAGAAATAGGAATGAGATGAGAATGGGATGAGGGAAAGTGGAGAATTTTATAGACATGACGCCTGACGGTTTGATTGGTTTGTGTCTGGTTTTTTGGGAAGAGGGACTACTTACTCTCTGCAAAATGAGCAGATTTCTTTGTATAAAAAATCTTATCATGTTGTATTAAATATTTGAATTGTTTTTTAACTAAACTCTTTTGTAACTATCATAGGTGATGTTGTATAATTTAATTGGTTAAACAAGTATGTTTGGGAGGGGGGGAGGGAGAGATTGACGAAAGGAGAAGTGAATCTTTTGTTTGGTAAGGAGAAGATGAGAGAGATGAGAGAGATGAGAGATGAATGGAGAATCTCTCCCTCCCGACCCACCATTTTAGATCTTTTTATGAAATGATCCAATCAATCCATAAAATTAAAAGAAACTAACTTTTTTACCCTTCAAAAGTAATTATTAATAGATAGTAAAATGAATAATGTAGTAATTAAATAAAAAATTATCATCTATCATTTCAACTCTCATTTTCTCTTACCAAACAACATAAATGAGTATTATAATCCTCTTCATCCTTCACATTCAGCATCCTTCTAAACCCTCTTCATCTTTCTTTCTCACTATCCCTCCTACCAAACGAAGCTTTTGGGATACCAAAAATTAAACAGAAGATCTAGATCCGATTTTAGGATTTTATAGAATCTAATGGACGTTTGGTTTATCGGTTCAGAATCATGATTCAGAATTATTTTTTATTTACGTGTGTTTTTTATGAGAAAAATACTATAGCGAGCCACGAACTATGATCTGAATTATGACACGAATTCTTACTCCAAACGCAGCAAGTTTAATTCCTGTGATCTCGGGGTAGGGCCCACTAGTCTGGTTCTAACCAAGCTAAGTAACGATTAACGAAATTCCTATTATCCTAACTAATATATCTTGTAAGTAAGTCGGAAGTCCCCATTTTGAGTTGGTCACTATCTAATATATCTAGTACTTTTTTTTGTGGAAAGATCTTGTACTTGATTACTTGATGCTGGCCAACTTACTTCCTACCAATTCTTCCTGATCTCCTCACCTAGAATGGCAGGGGGTGTCAAAGATTTGTAATCCTGATAGGTAACGAAATTCCTAGTCACTCTTTCTCACCTCAGAGGAGAAGTAGTGTTACTTTTATTTATTTATTTTTTATTTTTTTTGGGGGGGCTACGAAGAAGTACTGTTACATGTTAGTGTTACTGCAACTATACTTCCCAAGGTAACAGTGAAAATGTTTTCAACATTTTTTTCCTACTTTACCCCCTTGAAAGTTTCTAATTACAATATCACATACAAAAAATAATAATAATTATACTTTTAAGTTTTGACTTTTAAGTGTTCTTATGGTATTTCAAAATTATAACCCCCAAATAAACAAAAAATTAAATTAAATTTATTGCTATAGAAAATCGTATTTTTTTTTTTCAAATAAACTTAAAATTTAGAATACAAACATATTCATTTAGACGAAAAGAGTAAAAACGAGTGACAAATAGTTAAAAGAATATATTTTTGTGCCCCTTGAAAAGAAAATGAAGCTGTTCTATCTCCATCTTTTGGCAGGCATACATTACATAGATATTTAGGTGCAAAAACAATACTTGGTTTTTCTTCTTAACTGAATGACACCCCTTGCATTGATATGCTTTTTCGCATTTTCACATAAGCAACATATACTTATGTTTGGTACCTAGCTTCGTTCCCTGATTCAAATCATGGTTCATAGTTCGCTACAGTATTTTTTCTCACAAAAAATATATGTAAATCGAAAATGGTTCTAATCACATGGTTCTAATCCATAAACCAAACGTCTCTCCCGTTTAGTTCGTTGATTTGAATTTTTAAATTGAGTTGAGATGTGATTTTATGTGAGCTTTTTACTGTAGTAAAAAAAGTTAGATATGACCGTTTCTGAGAGCTTTTTACTGTAACAAAACTCAAATTCTAAACTCGAATCGGTGAAATGAACAAGACCTTAAACTCTCTCTCCATCAGCTACATAGTAGCAGATCTTTTTGATCAATCAACAAATTAATGTTGAACCACAAGCTTGAACAACTTTTTTTTTCTTTTTTGTTTTTTGTTTTTGTACAACAAATTTCTTTGTGGACCTTGCTATCAGACATTCAATTTTCCTAGTTAAAAATAAAACAGTGACACTGATGCAGTAATGAATAACCAACACATATTCCATTTGAGTGTGTCAAAGAGTACAACTTTTGTCAATAGATCATAGACACAATCTTTAGTGAAGTGTAAAGAAGTCTATTAGAGGGGAGTACACAACTTTGTTGGCATTGACAGCCATAATAAAATCTCCATGAGCATAATCCTTCACAAACTGAACCACCAACTTATCTTTATCATGATTTTCAAGCTTGTCGAGCAAAATCTGAACATCGTTAACATCAGAAAGTAAATCCTTCGCTCCATAGCTGATGAAGAGAGGAATCTCATTCGGAATGTTAGAGATGTTGTACGTTGGAGGAGTTGGCTGCCCATAATGCTTCATGTTTTCAACCAAATTATCATAATTATACATTGCCATTGTTCCGTCTCTGATCACTGCCAATCACCGGAGAAAAAAGAAGAAAAGGATTAAAGAATAAAAACCAAGATAAGAAAAACTTGTTGCAATTTTTATTAAGGCCAACTTGATAATTCGATCCAACAACTCACTCTGAGAAAGATGAATTAAGTTCCTTGTCGAAGTTGACTGAGGCTCGTGGTCGAGAAAAACGCCTTCCTTGGATTTATCAATGCAGCAATTTGGGCCTATTAAGTTGCAACATACAAGTCAATCAGTGTTTGATAAGCAGAAAAAAAAAAAGTGTCAATGCAGGTTCCTAAAGCAAACATATAACACTGAAAACATTTCTCTCCAGCAATATATATAATTTATAACCATTAATGATATTGAATTCTTATTACACCACGTTATTAAATTTCTATATTTTATGAAAACGTAATCATTGAAAACAGTGGCAGAGGGAGGTGAGGCTCAAGGGGGCATATGCCCCCATTGGATTTTTGATATTTGACTTTTAGTATAAGTTTTTTCTTATCAATAAAAATTTCAAATATATCTTCGCAAAATTCAATCTCAAATTATTTTATTTCTTATTATTTTTTTGATCTTTTCCTATTAAATCTTATACTTTAAATGAACCTAATTGATTTTTTTTTCCTCTAATTTATTCTTATGAAAACAATTCTTCTTTCAAATTGGTTCCTTCTAAAATATTTTTGGATATAAACTAAGCTATATCAAAAATGATAGATTAAAATATTTTTCTCAAAATGTGTCCTTAATTAAGAATTTTTTCTTCAAACAACCCTCTCAATTATGGCTTTCACACACCCACATTTTCTCTAATTTGTCATTGTTGAAGTAATATGTATTTATTCAAATGTACCCTACATACTTAAAGATATTTTTTTCTTCTTCTGATATTCGCAGCTACTATTTTCTCATAAATATTATGTACCTCCTAAATTATTTTTCTTGTCTAATTTACTTATTAAAATGTTTATCACTCAAGTATATTCAATAATCTATACATATATAGTATTCGTCTAAAAATATGAGGAGTTAATTTTATTAATATTTTTCACGTTTTTAATTGATGCCCCCTAAATCAAAAGTTTAGCTCCGCCACTGATTGAAAACTCATCCATATATAGATTAAAAGCATTACCTGTTACAGATATCAATAAGTTGGAGCAGTCAATGCCAGGTTTGCAGATATTTTCAAGAAGTTTGCCAAGTTGTTGCCTGTTAGGAAGTTAGTAAAATGCTTGAAGTGCTCATTTTTATGCTTTTAAGGGGGATAAGAAAAAAAACAAAAACAAAAACACAAAACAAAACAAAACAAAACAAAACTGTTTCTAACAATTGCTTAAGTAGGTGTCTCACCCTTTTGGAATAAACTCACGAACACCCAACCAGTAAATATCCTGTTAAGAAAACAAATGAGGGAAATTACATGAACTAATCTCAAATTCACGGTTATAAAAAAATTAAAAATAGATGCCATTAGAGCTTTTGTTACTTCAGCTAAGAAATATTGAGCAGCAACTCTTATCAGCAGCGAAGGAATGCGGCCCAAATAAGCAATTGGGCTGAGCAAAGCGGCAGATCTCAGCATGCTCAATAGCTTGCCTTGTGAAAGGGCGGCAAAAGCAGTCAAAGTTCCCTATAAATCAATGATATCCAAGACTTAGGGCCGTTCACTTCCTTGATTCGAGTTTATAATTCGAGTTAATATGTGATTTTGTATAAGAGCTTTTTACTGTAACAAAAAAGTTAGATGTGACTGTTTCTGAGAGTTTTTTACTGTAACAAAACTCAAATTCTAAACTCGAATCGGCGAAATGAACGGGACCTAGTAAATTTAGACAAAAATATCTAAACTTAAAAAAATAAAAAAGGAAAGGAAAGGAAATATAGATACGGACCAAGGAATGCCCAACATAGTGTAGTTTTTGCCCCGTCTGGTCGTTAACATATTTGACTAGAGTAGGAAGGTCATGAGCGGCCAATTGATCCCATGACCAATTCCAATAAGCCTACACATTAAAACATATAAATGAGTTATAAATAATATCATAATCATAGTAGAGTTAATAGCATGGAAGTATGATTTTTATCTTCTTTTTTTTTTTTGAACTGAGAAATATGATTTAATCACATGCACAATCAATAGGGTACTCCGGTTCTACATAACAAAAACAAGTAGGATAGAAATAAAAGCAGCAAACCGGATCATTAGGACTAAGTGAGTTGTGTCCACGGCTAGAAATAGTCCCTCGAGTATTTGCTAGCCACACATCGTACCCGTTGTCGGCCAAGATGAACCCTAGAGATTCTTCAGGGGACAGTATTACCCATGACGCACCATCCTATTAATTTTACATACACGCACACACAAAAAAAAAAAAGAAATTTTTAACACCACAATATTGATGTATTGACTGTACACTTGTATTAATAAAATGCATATAGAGGGAAGAGAAATTTATTCACCACTAAAATCCCATGTTGTAACAGAACGGGTGGTTTGTCTGCTTTTTTACCAGAACGCCCAGCAGGAATCCTCTGCAGACTGAGAATGTAGCCATCATCCGTCGTCACCTGTACCAATAAAAAAAATACGTCACTAAGAAGAATAAAAAAAGATATTTTTGCAGATATGACACAAAATCTTATAAGCGCTAAGCAGCACAACAGCAAATGATGTGATGAACACTTAAATTGATAGTCTCATTTGCATAAAAAACACATGTTTCTCGTAATTTTCAGCTCGACACCATACAATTTGGTAAACACTTAAATTGATTCTCTACTTTTTTTTGGCAAAAACATATGTTTTTCGTTATTTCGGGTAGATATCACATGATGTGACGAACAATACTTAAATCGATTGTCTCGTGTATATATATTTAAAAAAAAAAAAAAAAAAGAACTTGTGTGTTTGGTATAAGATAAATGCCTTGGCAACTTAACTATGTGTTGTTGGCAAGCGTAGCCTTGTGGCTCCACCAATGACTTGCAGATATCGTCGGAACCTGGGGACGATGGCAATATGCTATTTTGATTGTCATTTATTGAATACAATCTAGTTCCTTTTGCCAAAGCTGCTAAAATGCAAATAAGAGCAGAAAGAAAAGCAATGGATGTTGTTGATTTGTTAGCCATTGAGAACTATAGAAGTAATATTCTAACTATCCGTGTTGGACCAATAGTAGAAAGGGTACTATTTATACGAACTCTTCTACCAAAAAATGTACTATTTATACGAAGCATTAACCAAAAAAACAAACGGAATAACGTTTGGATAAATTTTGTGTCAATCTTTGTTGCCTTCCGTTTAAACTGCTCCATTGGTCGTTTTATTAGTCAAATTAAAACTACATTCACGGTACGTACGTTGTGTACTGCCGCTATATCATTCTTATTGAATATTGGTCGAGATTAGAGTGATCAATAGTAACATATCCTTGTTATATATCTATATATATTTAAACGAGTTTTGAATGATTACGTTACGTGACGTGATAAAAATCCAACAGAGATAATATAAGTAAATTACAAGTCAAATATTGAATACAAATTATACAATTGGTTGTAATAGGGTATAAACGGCTCAAATAAATAGTGAGGTTTATTCCGGCAATTTAGCAGTCAACAAACTAAATACTCGTTAATCTCATGCAACAGATCCGTTTATAACCTCCAAGAATCAATAATTAATGATTTAATGTTAATAAAATTTCGGACAATCACAGGACTGAATTCCTTCAAAAAATAAAAAAGAAAAGAAAACGACAAGGAGCCTGAATCTTCCACAATAAAAATCAAAAAATAAAAAGTCTGAAGATAACTATACACCTACGCACAAAATTAAATGTACAGTAAAAGTTAAATAAATCCCTAGATACATATCTTGTTTTACGAATTGCTTCATTTTCTTGATTTGTTAGACACAATATATTTATAAAGGTCTGATTTAAAAAAAAAAAACTAATGGAAAAATGAACTTTTTATATTAATTTTAGTAGAGATTACTTTTGGTACGCCGTTGTACCGGTAAGTCAGATTTTCTGTTTATTAAATTTACATAAAATTACGTAAAAATCAAAAAATACGTAAATTTAATAGTTAAATAGATCTGACTTACTAATACGCCATACGTATTAGAAAATTTTCCTTTTAATAAATGTCTCAAGTTTTGTTAAATAAAAAATGACTATTTTTTTAAGAAATGGTCAATTGACTTATTGACTTAGTTAATTATTGATTGATCGGCATAATATGTGTTTCACTAGTGTGAGTCAATGATTTATAAATCAATCACCAATTGATAAAAAATAAAAATAAAAATAAAAAGGTTTAGGCACTTTTCAAAAGAAGATCTGGATCCAATTTTAGGATTTTATAGAAGTTTAATTCCTGTAATCTCGGGGTAGGGCCCACTAGTCTGGTTCTAACCAAGCTAAGTAACGATTAACGAAATTCCTATTATCCTAACTTGGCCAACTTACTTCCTACCAACTCTTCCTGATCTCCTCATCTAGAATGGCTGGGGGTGTCAAAGATGTGTAATCCTGATAGGTAACGAAATTTCTAGTCACTCTTTCTCACCTCAGAGAAGTAGTGTTACCTTTTTTTTTTTTTTTTTTTTTTTTTTGGGCTACAGAGAAGTACTGTTACATATTAGTGTTATTACAATACTAAATGTTTGTTGCTTATATTCGTCTTTGATTCTGAATTATAATTCATAGTTCTCTACAGTGATTTTCTCTCACAAAAAACACACATAAAATAAGAATAATTCTGAATTATGATTCTAAATATATGAACTAAACGTCCACACTTCCCAAGGTTAACATTTTTTTTCCTACTTTACCCCCTTGAAAGTTTCTAATTACAATATCACATCCAAAAAATAATTATTATTATACTTTTAAGTATACTTTTGGTATTTCAAAATTTTAACCCCCAAATAAACAAAAAATTAAATTAAATTTATTGCTATAGAAAAGCGTAATTTTTTTTCAAATAAACTTAAAATATATAATACAAACATCCATGATTAGTTCATTTAGACGAAAAGAGTAAAAAAGAGTGACAAATAGTTTTTAAAAAAAATATTTTTGTGCCCCTCGAAAAAAAAAAAAAAAAAAAAAAACTGTCTTATCTCTATCTTTTGGCAGACATATAAAACATAGATATTTAGGTGCAAAAACAATACGTGGTTTTTCTTCTTAACTGAATAACACCCCTCGCATTGATATCCTTTTTCGCAGTTTCACATAAGCAAAGTATACTTAAACTCTTTCTCCATCACCTACATAGTAGCAGATCTTTTTGATCAATCAACAAATTAATATTGAACCACAAGTTTGAACTTTGAACAACTATTTTTTTTTTTTTTTTTTTGTACAACAAATTTCTTTGTGGACCTTGCCATCAAACATTCATGCTGTGTTTGGAATTGATCTCATTTTTATTTTTCACGTTTTTTGAGAAAAAAAAAATGAAAACATTTTTAAAACGGCATTTGGTGCAATAAAAACAAAAAGCGGAAGTGAAAATAATTTTTTAGTTTAGTGTAAAATGAGAAAAAAATGAAAAATGACTTTTCATTTTTTATTTTCGTTTTCTCCTCTCTCGAGCAGAGAGAAAGAGAAAGAGACATTAAAGAGTTTTTTTATATTGAAAACAATCTCTTAATAAAATTACCAAATGCATTTTCAAAAATAATTTATGTCTGAGATTGAAAACGTTTTCATTTTCATTTTCATATAAAAAATAAAATCATTTTAGAACGAGTTCCAAACGCGCCCTCAATTTTCTTAGTTAAAAATAAAACAATGACACTGATGCAGTAATGAATAACCAACACATATTCCATTTGAGTGTGTTAAAGAGTACAACTTTTTTGGCCACAATTACATGCCAATCACACTACAAAGAACTTATACCAAACAAATCAGCCACACTAAAAGTCTAAATTCAGCAATTGCGTTTGTCAATAGATCATAGACATAATCTTTAGTGAAGTGTAAAGAAGTCTATTAGAGGGGAGTACACAACTTTGTTGGCATTGACAGCCATAATAAAATCTCCATGAGCATAATCCTTCACAAACTGAACCACCAACTTATCTTTATCATGATTTTCAAGCTTGTCGAGCAAAATCTGAACATCGTTAACATCAGAAAGTAAATCCTTCGCTCCATAGCTGATGAAGAGAGGAATCTCATTCGGAATGTTAGAGATGTTGTACGTTGGAGGAGTTGGCTGCCCATAATGCTTCATGTTTTCAACCAAATTATCATAATTATACATTGCCATTGTTCCGTCTCTGATCACTGCCAATCACCGGAGAAAAAAGAAGAAAAGGATTAAAGAATAAAAACCAAGATAAGAAAAACTTGTTGCAATTTTTATATAGGCCAACTTGATAATTCGATCCAACAACTTACTCTGAGAAATATGAACTAAGTTCCTTGTCGAAGTTGACTGAGGCTCGTGGTCGAGAAAAACGCCTTCCTTGGATTTATCAATGCAGCAATTTGGGCCTATTAAGTTGCAACATACATGTCAATCAGTGTTTGATAAGCAGAAAAAAATAAATAAATAAATAAATAGTGTCAATGCAAGTTCCTAAAGCAAACATATAACGCTCAGCAATATATATAATGTATAACCATTAATGACCACGTAATTGAATAATTGAATTTTTATATTTGATGAAAACGTAACTATTAAAAATAGTAGAGAAAGGAGGTGACGTTTAAGGAGATATATGCCCTCGAGGGCATATGCCCTCTCTGAATTTTTGATATTTGATTTTTAGTATAAGTCTTTCACAAAAAAAAAAAAAAAAAAAAAAAAAATCATATATGCCCCCTTATCAAAAAAAATTACAAATACATCCTCAAAAAATCCAATCTCAAATTATTTTATTTCTTATTATTTTTTTTATCTTTTCCTATTAAATCTTATACTTTAAATATACCTAATTCATATTTTTCTCTAATTTATTCTTATGTAAACAATTCTTCTTTCAAATTGGTGCCTTCTAAAATATTTTTAGATATAATCTAAGCTATATTAAAAATGACACATTAAAATATATTTCTCAAAATGTGTCTTTAATTAAGAATTTTTTCTTCAAACAACCCTCTCAATTATGACTTTCACACACCCACATTTTCTATAATTTGCCCTTGTTGAATTAATATGTGTTTATTCAAATGTACCCTACATACTTAAAGATATTTTTTTTCTTCTGGCACTCGCAGCTACTATTTTCTCATAAATATTGTGTACCTCCTAAATTATTTTTCTTATCTAATTTATTTATTAAAATGTTTATCACTCAAATATATTCAATAATCTATACATATATAATATTCATCTAAAAATATGAGGAGATGATTTTATTAACATTTTTCAGGTTTTTAATTGATGCTCCCTAAATCAAAATTTTAGCTCCGCCACTGATCGAAAACTCATCCATATATACATTAAAAGCATTACCTGTTACAGAGATCAATAAGTTGGCGCAGTCAATGCCAGGTTTGCAGATATTTTCAAGAAGTTTGCCAAGTTGTTGCCTGTTAGGAAGTTAGTAAAAATGTAAAATGCTTGAAGTCCTCATTTTTATGCTTTTAACGGGGATAAGGAAAAAAAAAAAAAAAAAAAAAAAAAAAAAAAAAAAAAAAAAAAAAACTGTTTCTAACAATTGCTTAAGTAGGTGGCTCACCCTTTTGGAATAAACTCACGAACACCCAAAAAGTAAATATCCTGTTAAGAAAACAAATGAGGGAAATTACATGAACTAATCTCAAATTCACGGTTATAAAAAAATTAAAAATAGATGCCATTAGAGCTTTTGTTACTTCAGCAAAGAAATATTGAGCAGCCGCTCTTATGAGCAGCGAGGGCATGCGGCCCAAATAAGCAATTGGGGTAAGCAAAGCGGCTGATCTCATCATGTTTAATAGCTTTCCTTGTGAAAGGGCAGCAAAAGCAGTCAAAGTTCCCTATAAATCAATGATGTCCAAGGCTTAGTAAATTTAGACAAAAATATCTAAACTTAAAAAAATAAAAAAAATAAAAGGACAGGAAATATAGATACGGACCAAGGAATACCCAACATAGTGTAGTTTTTGCCCTGTCTGGTC